TTATAACAAAGGTGACAGTGGAATGCAGTGGAGAAAGAATGATATTTTCAAGTTAGATGCTGAGTTGACTGAATATAGACATGAAAAACAAATTATTAATAACTTTGACCTCTATTTCACATAGGAAAATAAATTCCAGATGTATTGTTGATCTACACATTAAAGACAAACAATAAGAAGAAAACATTGGAGAATATCTTCATGACCATGAGCAGGCAAAGATTTCTTAAATAGGACCCCAAAATTCCTCATGATAAGCAAAAAAATTGATAAATTGGACTACATTAAAATTTAGAACTTCTGATTGTTAAAAGACATCTATTAAAAGAATGAAAAAGCAAGCCACATGGTGTCAGAATATATTTGCAATATGTATAACTGATAAAAGATTCACATCCAGAATATATAAGAAACAACAAATTAATAAGACAACCCAATAGAAATATGAGCAAATGATTTAAACAGGCACTTCAGAAACAATGATACGCACACGGTCTATAAACTATGAAAAGGTACTCAACTTCATTAGTCATCAGGATTTGAGTGAAGATCTGAAAAAAATTTTTTTTTTTTTTTTTTGAGACAGTCTCACTTTGTTGCCCAGGCTAGAGTGAATGCCATGGCATCAGCCTAGCTCACAGCAACCTCAAACTCCTGGGCTGAAGCAATCCTCCTGCCTCAGCCTCCCAAGTAGCTGGGACTACAGGCATGTGCCATCATGCCTGGCTAATTTTTTCTATAATGTATTAGTTGGCAATTAATTTCTTTCTATTTATTAGTAGAGACGGGTCTCGCTCTTGCTCAGGCTGGTTTTGAACTCCTGACCTCGAGCAATCCGCCCGCTCAGCCTCCCAGAGTGCTAGGATTACAGGCGTGAGCCACCGGGCCGGCTGAAAAAAATTTTTAATATACTTTCTCCCAAGTAGAGGAAGTTAAAAGAGGGGGACAATAATTGCATTAGGAATTTCTCTTTTTCTGTATTTTATTTTATTTTATTTTTTTTTAATCGAACCACTTGTATTGACATCTTTTTCTGTATTTTAGAAACTTGTAATACATTCAAAATATCACATAGAAAGTCTGGGACATAAAAGTCTGTTCACATTCAACTAAGTAGGAAAAACAATCATCTTATTTCAATATTTATTTTTTAAATACTTACAATGTAGCAAGTACTGTGATAATTACCAAGACCAGTTAAGATCACATATCTTAAACAATTCTCGAAATGTAAAGATAGAAGGAGTCACCATGGAATATATCAACCAAAAAAGGTTGATCTGGACACCAAAAAATGTGGATTCTGTCCTAAATTTGTACTAACAATGTTAACTTCAAATTACTTTTCTAGGCTTCAGGCTCCACTATAAAATTAGGTAGCTGGAATAAACAATTTAAAAATTTTTCTTCCAAGTCCCAAAACTCTTTGATACTAATGGAAAAGCCATCAAAGCTATAACTGTCTTCCTTTAGAATCATCTTACATGCTTTGCTTTGGGAATCTCAAGCATTACTATAGCAACTTGAAGTTTTTGGAGATTTTTTTCTCCATAGGAACATAGTATATACCTTAATAACAACTGGTCAGTATTAGTCAATAAACAGAGACATCAAGATTTTTTAAAGTCTTGAATTGTGAGGTTTCTATAGCTAAAAAAAAATAGAGTCAGTCAAGATGTGATTTCTATAAGTAAAGCTATCCAACTTGTTCAAGGCACCAAAGCTCATTAACACTTGAATCTTTGATTATTTTTTTTTCTTTCTTTTTATAAGTATTGAGTCTTCGGTTATTTTTGCTATCAGAAAGAAACAAGACATCAGATATAGTATCTATTTAATATATAACTATGAAACTTCATTTAGTGGGAAAAGCCATGGGATATGGTATCAGACAGACCTGAATTTTTGTCCTAGCTTTGCAACCTACGATCTGGGAGATGTTGAACAAGTCATTTAAGCATTCCAACCTCAGTTTTCTCTCAGTTTTTAAATGGAGATTAAAACAAATAGTTCCCCACACCTAAGGTAAACTAGAGGTAGGGTGATTTACTTGATAAGGAGAGACATGTCTGATGATGTTATAGGATTACAGAAAAGACATGAAGATTGACCATACCTCAAACTTAACTTATCCAAAATGGAAGATTTCCATCAGCACAGAAAGTTCTATGGGACAGCACTGATCTAGACACATGGCAACTTCATTCCTACCCTCAGGTCTTTGTACTTGCTACTCCTTCTTCTGGAATGCTACTCCCCCAGAATTTGGGATGGCTGGTTCCTTCTCATAATTCAGGTTTCAGTACAAATGAAGCTCCTCAGAAGAACCTTCTAAATTTAGATTGGATCACCCAATCTGAAATAGTTCCTTAATCTCCCCTGTCCCCAGATACTGTATATCCCATTACCCAATTTTATTTTCTTCACAGCACTCATCACTATCTAAAATTGTTGTTTTATTCTTTTCTGTTTCAACCTATAGAATATAAGCTCTCCATGAAGGTAGAGACCATGTTTGTGTATTCATTGCTGTACCTCCAGTGACCACATCCAGAATATCACCTGGCCTATAGGAATGCCTATAGGAATAACACCTGGCCTATAGGAAGCATAAAATAAATTATTGAACAAAGTAATAAATAAATATCCAAAAGATTATAGATTTTGGAGTTAAACCAATCTGAATTCCAATCCTACTACTTCCATTTACCAGCTGTCACACCTTAAGAAAAGTTATTCAATCACTGAGCTTAATTCATAATGTTTTCATAAAGATTAAATAAAACGAAGCATTCAATGTGCCTTACACGGTTACTATTAAAACAGCCCCTTCAGGACGGGTGTGGTGGCTCACACCTGCAATCCTAGTACTCCCAGAGGCTGAGGCAAGAGGATTGCTAGAGGTCAGGAGTTCGAGACCAGCCTAAGCAAGAGTGAGATCCCGTCTCTACCAAAAATAGAAAAAAATTAATTTGCCAACTAAAAATATATAGAAAAAATTAGCCGGGTATGGTGGCGTATGCCTATAGTCCCAGCTACTTGAGAGGCTGAGGCAGACGATCCCTTGAGCCCAAGAGTTTGAGGTTGTTGTGAGCTAGGCTGACGCCATGGCACTCTTGCCCAGGCAACAGACCAAGACTCTGTCTCCAAACAAAAACAAAAAAACAGCCCTTCAAACTCAGGAGTAGAAAAACACCAAAAAAAAGAAGCATGACTCATAGTATAGAAGCACAAAAATTCTACTGCTTGGGTGATCTCTTCCCTAGCTGACCCATTCCTAATTTCTCTAAACTATGTTAGGTGTTTCTAACATATGCTCCCATAATGCCCTGTTTCTTCCACTATGATGAGTTTTTTTTTTTTTTTGAGACAGAGTCTCACTCTGTTGCCCGGGCTAGAGTGCCATGGCGTCAGCCTAGCTCACAGCAACCTCAAACTCCTGTGCTCAAGCGATCCTATGCCTCAGCCTCCCAAGTAGCTGGGACTACAGGCATGGCGCACCATGCCCAGCTAATTTTTTACTATGATATTTTTAGTTGGCAATTAATTTCTTTCTATTTTAGTAGAGGATGGGGTCTCACTCTGCTCAGGCTGGTCTCAAACTCCTGACCTTGAGAGATCCTCCCGCCTTGGCCTCCCAGAGTGCTAGATTATAGGCGTGAGCCACTGTGGCCCAGTCTATGATGAATATTATAATATCCTCCAAACCTTTATGCTATACATACACATAATAACATGTACATTGCTTCTACAATTGATAGCATAGGGTTGTGCACTGTTAAGTCCTTAATAAATATAATCAGTAATACCCTATTTTGGTTGCTGCCTTCTTTTTTTTTTTTTTTTTTTTTTTTTGAGACAGAGGTCCTCGCTGTTGCCAGGGCTAGAGTGGAGTGCCGGTGGCGTCAGCCTAGCTCACAGCAACCTCAAACTCCTGGGCGAGTGATCCTTCTGCCTCAGCCTCCCGGTAGCTGAGACTACAGGCATGCGCCACCATGGGCCGCTAATTTTTATATATACTATATCAGTTGGCCAATTAATTTCTTTCTATTTATAGGAGAGAGGGTCTCGCTCTTGCTCAGGCTGGTTTGGAACTCCTGACCTTGAGCAATCCGCCCGCCTCGCTCCCAAGAGCTAGGATTACAGGCGTGAGCCACAGCGCCCGGCCTGTTGCTGCCTTCTGAACTCTTATTTAATAGCCACCTTTTTTTAGTGGCATAATGAACCGAAATGTTGGTTATGACTTCATTTCAGTAATGGTCTCTAATGCTTAAAACTTAATTTAGAACTGAAGAACCAGCCACATAAATTAGATAGATCTTCTGTCAGTATATACAATCATGAAATTTGTTTATCTCCTCCCTATTTTATTTAAACAACATTTGGAGACTCCAATAATGGGATTGATTTTTCTATCTATAATTACCATGTGTAGCCAGGCATGGTGGAACATGCGTGTATATCCACAAGAGGCTGAGGCAGAGGATCTCTTGAGCCCAGTAGTTTGAGGTTACAGTGACTTATGATGGTACCACTGCACTCTACCCTGGACAACAGAATAAGACCCTGTCTCTAAAAAATAACAATAATAATAATAATATAATCACAACATGACAACTAATCTAAACTTTAAATGAGTGTTGTAGTGATACAGACCCTTTTAGTCTTTCCTACTAGAAAAAGAACTACTTTAAAATGCTGCATACTACATTAGGTTTCCACTTTGTGGTAGAGATTCTGATAGATTTAGATTTATAATTCTAATTCCAGCATATTTTTGATCCACCACTACCTAGCAGTGGAAGCCTGATCTAGTCATACCTTTTCTGAACCTCTATTCTCCTTTTCTTAAGATGACTCTACTAAATTAGAAAATTAGTAAGATTCCTTTTATTGTACCTCTTGTATTCTTTAGTTTAGTTTTCTTATAGATAACTGTACTTCCTTTATCTTCCCCAGTGAGTTATGATGACAAAAAATCATTAATACTCAATACAAACCTCCATCAAGGCTCCGAGACGCCCGTTTGCTTGCTGTACGCTCAAAGTGTGGGGCAGGCCTGTCAATGAGAGCACTAGCTTGTCTAGTCTGAGCCTGGGTCCGGCCACTGTATCGAAATTTGGATCCCAGTGCAAGAAATTTGCTTTTGGGAATGGTGTCTGTAGATGTCAGTCTGGAGGAAAAAATCATAATAATCATATATTACATATATTATCATATGGAAAAAATCATAATAATCATATATTACATATATTATCTCATAATTCTGAGACTATAAGAATAAAGACAAAATCAACAATAAAAAATGTTTCACAATTCCTATGGTTTCCTCATAGTTACTAAGGAGTTTCCAAGGCCGGGCGCGGTGGCTCACGCCTGTAATCCTAGCACTCTGGGAGGCCAAGGCAGGAGGATTGCTCGAGCTCAGGAGTTTGAAACAAGCCTGAGCAAGAGCAAGACCCCATCTCTACCACAAATAGAAAGAAATTAATTGGCCAACTGATATATATACAAAAAATTAGCCAGGCATGGTGGCACATGCCTGTAGTCCCAGCTACTCGGGAGGCTGAGGCAGTAGGATCGCTTGAGCCCAGGAGTTTGAGGTTGCTGTGAGCTAGGCTGATGCCACGGCACTCACTCTAGCCTGGGCAACAAAGCGAGACTCTGTCTCAAAAAAAAAAAAAGTTTCCAATGAAGCAATCATTATTTTAGTTCTATGTCATTTCTCAAAGCAACCAGTATAAATGTAGTTGGGACCTATATTGATAATACCATCTTATATCTCTCTAAATAGAGCCTTACAGGTTTCAAAATGCTTTTATAGCACTGCAGCATTTTCACTATATATTTGTAATGTTTTCACAATTTTATAGATACAGGACAACTGAACCTCAAAAAAAGTTAATTGCTTAAGGTCCTACAGCTGTTGGGAGACTGGGCAGTCATAAAGTCCAAGCCCAGAGCTCTTTTTCCATTCTACTAAAATGACAGTTTTGTCAAATGCACTCAAAACTCAATTAATACCTGGTAACCTATTTGGTTATTTGGTATATTTTCAACTCAGTTAGGAACCCCATCTTTTTTCTACGTGGTACTCTATGTGCTCTTTTGTCATGGCATTTACTACATTGAATTGAAACAAACTATTTATGTGCTGGTTTCCTCCATGAGATTATGAATTTTCTAAGGGTAAAGAATAAAGACCATGACTTATTCATCTTTGTGTTTTTGTTTCTGGCATAGTGCCTGGCATGAATTTGGCACCCAATAAATGTTTGTTGAATAAATACATAAATTGCTATATCAAATACTACCAAAACGGGAGTATTATTTCCCTTTTGGATAGTTAATTTTAATTCAGCAAACATATATCTTCTCTAATGCAATGAAGCCTTACATTTTAATATTAATATATCATCTTATTTTGATGCAATGGATTTAAATATGCTATTCTACAAATAAATACACTGGCTGCAGCTGAAACCTATACTATAAACATTAAAAATTCAAAATCATTCTCTTTTGTTATTTGCCAGCTCTCCTTTCTTGGTTTGATTTTAAAGAAGAGGATGATTAAAGCATAAAAAAATGTGTTAATGCCAATAATCAAGATTCTCTAATTGGGGAAAAAGTGTATCTTCATGTTTTATTTTGAAATTAGAACTGAAATATGATTTTCCTTGACTTTTCTTCCTGTCCACTGTGCTATAGTGCTGAGTATGATATGAAAACACAAATACAAGGAAAACATATCAAAGTCATCTCTTTCTCTCTCTGTTGAGAGCTATTTATAAAGAATCAAGTTTATGAATGAAATGACATAAGGCCTAGGATTTGCTTCAAAAAAATCTGGCAAGTAGGGGAAGGGGGAGGTAAGGATATAGATAAAAGGAGTTTGGCCTTGGGTGGTAATTATTGAAGCTGAGTGACAGGTTCATTATACTGTTGCTACGTATTAAATTTCCAAAATAAATAAATTTTCTTTTGTGATGATTTCTGGATTAAAAAAAAAAAAGATAAGCCTAGTGGACAGAGTAAGACCCCACTTCTTAAAAACAAAACAAAATAAAACAACAACAACAAAGCAAAGAAATTTTCTTAAAAAGGCAAACTGACAATACTGACAATAAATAGCTGGCTCTCCTTTCAATACAAGTAATTACTTGTCTAAGATCTGCCTTCTCTGCTGATCATATATTCCATTAGGACAGAGACTGAGAACTATCTTGTGGTATATTCCCGGACCTACCACAGTGCCTACATGAAGGGTAAGCACACAGAAAAGGGTTGGTAGGCCAGGTGCAGTGGCTCACGTGTGTAATCCTAGCCCTTTGGGAGGTCAGGGCAGGAAGAACACTTGAGGTCAGGAGTTCAGGACCAGCTGAGCAACATATTTAGACCCTGTCTCTACAAAAAATAGAAAAATTATTAACAGTGGGTGTGGTGGCACACGCCAGTAGTCCCAGCTACTTGGGAGGCTGAGACAGGAGCATCACTTGAGCCCACTCGTTTGAGGTTGCAGTGAGCTATTGTGATGCCAATGCACTCTACCCTGGGCAACAGAGTGAGACCTTGTCTCCAAAGGAAAAAAAAATTGTTGGTAAATGCATTCAAGGGGTTAATAATATGGCCTCTTGAGATAGAGGAAATGATAATTTCTTATCTCTTCTAACTATCTGGTATAATTGGGCTTCAAAGATGATTCTGTGTGCTTCCTTCACAAGGTTAACTTCTAGAATAAAAGCTCAACAGAAAGTAGTTAAGCACTGCTTAGAGAAATTCCATGTGGACGCAAGCGAAGGTAGCTCCCCTTAATAGGACTGATTTTAGCTACAGTTAGGGCAATCACAGAGCCCCTAGTAAACATAGTTTCCTATTCCTTACTTCTCCTTCTGCCATACACAGAAAGGTGCTTTGGAAATGTTGAGGCATACTTTTCAACCCACAGAGGGAGAACTGAACTCATTTTGTCTTGTTTAAGATGATCTCACCTGAGCTAAATAAAAGAATGCCAGTCACACAAAGAAGGGAATTTCAGTAGCAGACTAAAAATAGAAACATGCATAAATAATTTATCCTTGAAAAATACTTAAGTGAGAACAAACCTGAAAAATGTGTGATGTTCTACACAGACTTTCCATAATTTCTTAGCTGCTCGGTAACTGGGAAGTTTGAATCCAATGGTACTTTCATATTGTTCTTGCTATAAAAACACAAGTAAACGTAGAACATGAAGTATCATCTGACTATAGTGATATAGTACCAGAGAAATTTGGTGCCACAAAAGAGGCCATTGTTAGAATTTAAGGACATAAAATATCATTTGAAATTTTTTCCTACTTACCAAAAGAAATTCACTCATTGAGGGTAGCTTTTTCCAAAGCAAGGAAGTCAGGGAATGTATCTCGTATATAAAACACACACACACAGAGTACATTTTTCTGCAACATAATTAAGTTACCTTTTGATTGTCCAGATGCTGCTTTTCTTTAGTCACTATCTGCATTTGGAATACAGTCTACTCAATGATCAGGGAATGTGCTATCCATGATTTCTCCAACCACTCAACATTATTATGCAATAGCAATTGGTAATAAGAGCTAAAGATTTTGGATCAAGCCAGATTTTTAAAAATTAATTTTTAATTGAAAAATAAAAATTATATATATTTAGCATCTACAACATGTTGCTATGAAATATGTATATATTGTGCAATGGCCAAATTAAGCTAAATTGACATGCATAACCTCACATACTTATTTAATTGTGGTGTGAATACTTATTGTTACTAACTTTAGTTCCCATGGTATACAATAGATCTCTTGAACTTATTCCACAGATTCTTGATTTATTACATTTTTGCTTTTTCCTTTAATTCATCATTAATTTGTCTATATACTTCTTTGACTTAAGCAAACCATATCCTGCCAAGGCTACTAATAGGCACTATTATTGCCAGTAACACTATGATTAGATAGTATCATCTGTATTTTTACACATGAAGAAACTGAGGTCAGAAAAGTTATTTGTTCAGTCTCACAGCTATGAATGGCAAAACCAGAATTCCAGCCTCTCCACTATACCATGCTACTTCTAAATCATCTATTATAGTCATAATATTCCGCTTCTCAAAATACTACTGTTGTTCCTGTCTGCTTTCTTAAATAAGAATTCTGCATTTTTAGTATGTTATATAGCTGACATCCATAAAAGCTAAGGACTTCTCATTATCATATTTATTATTATTCATGCATGTGTATATTTATTTTTTAACTACCTTCCCACATTAAAATGTAAAATTGTTCAGGGATGGAATTCTTATTCACTGTTATATCTCTAGCCCCTAGAGTGGTGCCTGGCACAAGGAGAGCTCTCAATATATATTTGTTGACTGAATAACTCTTGGATTTGAAACTTTGAGGGAAGACATTGATTGCTGTGTGCTTGGCACAGGTAAATAATTATGGTACAAAATAAATGCTTCAATTCTAATCCCTATCCAAGATTTTTAAGGTTGCACATCCAGAATTTCCAGGCTCAAATAAGGAGCCATTTTTCACCAGTAGATGGTGATATCTACACACACAGAAAGCCATCTTATGTCAGAATAGTCCTTTCTTGTTTAGAGCTTTTACAATTGACATCTCATTTGATCTTCAAATAACTGTGACAAAGTATTATCATGCTTGAAAGCTGAGCCTTAGATGTTTCTAGGGTCTTTTGCTTAGTAAGCAGCAGTGAAGGAGCCAAAACTTTTTTTAAAATTTAATTCTTATTTAATTTTCTGCTGTACCATAATGGCTCTTCAATATGAAAGTTAAATTTGGCTGGCATTAGTATATCCTAAAACTTGACCAACAACTAACTGAGTTAACTGGCACAAAATTGAACATCCAACTCTATTAAAAATCTGGAACTTGACCCTAGAGAACTTAACATTCTCTGTAACCACTACAGGTATGCATACAAATAAATTTTAATTATGAGTTGGTGGTATAAAACATAAGTAACTTAGCCCAACAAATAATTTTAACATCTAATGTTACTCAATTAAAAAATATTTGTCCAACAACTTTTTGTCTGTAGTAAACAAGACACAAGTTTATCAATCCAAGTTTCACTTTTGGCCATGGTATATTTACTAACAGGAAGAGAAATGTTCAGAAAACCAGTAGTAAGGAAGAGAAGAAATATCAATTTAGAAAACAGAATCACCCGCCCCTGAATAGGTAGCCACAGAGAAACCTCTTAGATAACATAACAAAGAAAACAGGAATGAAAAGATGTTTTAAACATGGTTTGTGTCTGGTTTGGGAGGAAAAAAAACACGAATTCTGTACCTCTCCAGGCCGAATCTTGATGAAAAAGCTGCTACGTTTGTAAGAAATCTTCAGCACTTTGGGCCAAGGAAAACGGTTAATTCTCAGCTTATCTTTGTAAACCAGAAGGCCACTAGAGCAGACACCTAGGATGATATCCACTCCCTCCAAGTCCTGAAAAAGGAAAGTATTAATATGTCAGTCTTGAGCAAAGTGCTCTACGCTCTGTTGACTATTATGAGACAATCTGAAGGTATCAACAACCAAAAACATTTACAAAGCATACAATGAAAAACAAAGCTTAGCCTAATAATCCATCTGACTATTTTGTTTAAATCAGCAGTCATGACTTCCGGAAGGCCAGGGCTTAAGACTATGTACGTTACCAAATATATACACACAATTATAATTCTTGTTTTTTAATGATAAAGTGGTAATCTCTCCAGAAATCATGTTAAGTATAGGAGTTGACTCTATTTCTGTATAAACTCAGCATAAGGGAATTTCAGGTTCTTATAATAATTGATGTTAAGTATGTATGTTAAATTAAAAATATGATCCCTGGCGGGGTGTGGTGGCTCACGCCTGTAATCCTAGCACTCTGTGAGGCTGAGGTGGGCGGATGGCTCAAGGTCAGGAGTTCGAAACCAGCCTAAGTGAGAGCGAGACCCTGTCTCTACTATAAATAGAGAGAAATTAATTTGGCCAACTAATTATATATATAAAAATTAGCCGGGCATGGTGGCGCATGCCTATAGTCCCAGCTACTTAGGAGGCTGAGGCAGTAGGATCGCTTGAGCCCAGGAGTTTGAGGTTGCTGTGAGCTAGGCTGACACCACGGCACTCACTCTAGCTTGGGCAACAAAGTGAGACTCTGTCTCAAAAAAAAATAAAAAATAAATAAAAATATGATCCCTAAGCCAAGAAGGCACATTAAGGCAAAATGAAGTCATATTAACATGTTTCTTTATTAAAAATTTTTTAAATTAAATACATATTAATCATCTATATCCATAACACAAGGAAAACAAGGAAAATAAATTTCACTTAAGTTAATCTCTCTAAATGACTATTTGTTGGCTAAGTAATCAAAACCCAGAGTTAAGCACTTCTTGACTATTTTTTTTCCCCAAAAATGAGTATAGAGAAACATATTACTGTCTACATGTGTTACGTACAAGCGTAACAGAGAAGCAGAAATTATATACAGTTCCAATTCAGTGACTATGTAACTGAGAATTTCCCAGAAGATGCCCTCTTAAATTTTTAAAGCCTATGGCTATAACTCTCTCTCGCTAAATGACATGCTTTGGAGAAACAATTTGCTTTATAAGATCTGGGAAAAGAACATGCTTTCTGATTCCTTTATCCATTCCTGAATTGACACCAGCCTGCAGCAAGAATTGAGAAGCAAAACATAACAATTTCAGTTCTAGAAATATATCTAATCTTATGTACTAATCTTTTTATTCTCTACTTCAGAGATTCACAGAAGTTACAGTACTCAGCCCAAAACAATCCACAGCAACCTCTTACGAAAAACCACTAACATGCAATAGAATTTTATTAGAATTAATAGAATTTAAATAAGGAAGAGACTATCAGATATTCGGGTTGGGAGAACCCTGAAAGGTCACTTTAGTCCAATCACATACCAGATGCTTATATGTCCTTTTCTAAATTCCTATGAAGTGATTCTTCTGCCTATTCTAGAATACCTCCAGCAAAGGGGAGCTCACTACCTATTGACGTAGATCAGTCCATCTTTGAATAGTTCTGTTAAATAATTTGTCAAATTAACATGAACAGTATATTTGCCTATAGCTTCCATTTTGCCATCTCTAGGTTTATATCTTGGATCCGTAGTAAAATCTCTACTTCACTCATCACTCCTTTAAACACATGAAGACAGATATTACATCTTCCCCAAACTTTCTCTTTTGTGGGTTAAATACTCCTATTCCTTTGATTGCTTCTCATTGGAAATAGTTTTGAGTCTCCTCATCCTGCAGAGCCCTTTCACTCACAACCTCCTCAACCTCCCCACCTATTTTAATAGCTGAAGATGAAGTCAAGAGACTTGCCTTAAGTATTCATTCTCTCAGATTTAACTAGGATTAAAGCCCAAGTTTCCAATGCCCTAACCCAGGGTTTTTGAATGCACTACAGTGGGAATTAGAAACACCTGGAGAGCTTGTTAAAACAGAATTCTAGGCTCCAGCCCCAGAGCTCTGATTCAGTAAGTCTAGGATTGGGCCTGAAATGTGTATTTCTAACAAGTTCCTAGGTGATGCTAAATTCTGCTGGTTCAGAGATCACAATTTGAGAACCACTGCCCTAGGCCAAGGGTTCTTAGTTTTAAGCATGAATTAGAATCATTTGGGATGCTCATTAAATCTGGAGATTCTAGAGCCTCTCCTCCAAAGTAATTCCATAAATCCGAGAGGAGCTCAGGGATCTCCATATTTAATAAACACCCTTGGTGATTCTTTTTTTTTTTTTTTTTTGAGACAAAGTCTCACTTTGTTGCCTGGGCTAGAGTGCTGTGGCATCAGCCTAGCTCACAGCAACCTCAAACTCCTGGGCTCAAGGGATCCTCCTCAGCCTCCCAAGTAGCTGGGACTACAGGCATGCGCCACCATGCCCAGCTAATTTTTTATATATATGTTTTTAGTTGACTAATTAATTTCTTTCTATTTATAGTAGATACGGAGTCTCGCTCTTGCTCAGGGTGGTTTCAAACTCCTGCCCTTGAGGGATCCACCTGCCTCAGCCTCCCAGAGTGCTAGGATTATAGGCATTAGCCACCGCACCTAGCCTACCCTTGGTGATTCTGATGTAGGTAACATTGGCTATGAAACAGCCCTTACTGCCACTCTATATTTTCAAATGTAACTGCATCTTAGGAAAATACAATTTCTTCTTCTCTAGGTGCTATGTCTTTTGATCCTTATAGTGGCTTGGATATGAAACTTTATTCTGATGGTGGAATTGCTAAGGAGCAATTCAATTGATACATTTGATTTATTCAGTTGATACACTTAATATTTTAATAAGAAATATCTTTTCTGAATGTTTTAAAATATCCTAGATTGATTTTGAATGTTTATACCCCAGAATTATTTGAATATTTTAAAATATTCTGGATGTTGGTAAGAAGTATTATATGACACAGATGTGATACATGCATAACAAGCCTGTGACATATAATACATATACATGCATATTAATAAAGGCCAAATTTATCATTACCTTTGCTTTATGAAGATCAACTCCATACATAGATAACTTTTTGGCATTCTCAAGAAATTCCAAGTCAGCCTGAGCAGGAGTCATGGATCTTTGATAGAATAAAAATAAAAAATTATTTTAGTGTCATCATTTACAATAATAACATTTATATATTCATTGTGCTTTACTTAAATAAACATACATATACCAATATGTACATAAGATATATTTCAATGTCCTGAAAGTAGGTTATTATGGAACAAGTTTCTTACCACTACCTGTATCTAAATAATTGAAATATGCTTTAGATAAAGGTGTCTTGAGGAAACAGAGTCACCAAAAAGCTATCAGAAAAAAACATTTTTAAAATCCTACTAAAAAATTTCCTTAAAGCTACCTCATCCACCATATCTGTCCCCCTCCACTTTCCCCTTTCTTCAGCCCTTTTCTCTAACACATATATTTAATAAATTCCTCCCACTAATTTTTCTTGCTAATGTGATGACCAAATTAAATCCTCTGAGGGCATGGTGCAATTTACAATATCCTCCTAGCTGCCTTTTTCTCTCCATATTCCTGAAATGAGTTATTATGGAAATTAAACAAGAGGGCAGCAGACGTTACTTAACTGAAGACTCTTAATGGGGGCAGGCTAGATGAAAAGAAAATTTCTAGTAACAGATGGTGTCCTGCCCAGTGATCTAAACAAAATAAATTGGTTAATAGAAGCAGACAGATAATAGGGCTGCTTTCTCCATTATTAAGATGTCTTCATTACCAGGCATATAATGAATTAAATTTGTTTGAAAACAATCAGTCTCACTGTCTAAACATTCACTGTGATGGTCTTTCTTTCTCCTTCATAAGTTTCCCCTCTTTTGAAAAGTGCTCATGAGCTGAGCTATTATATAGAGCTTTCAGGACAAAAATATCATTCCTAATGCTGCATAATTCAGACCAATCAAGTATAACTTTATACTAACAATAATGCAGCCACACCCCCAAAGAAAATCATGTAAATGCCAGATTCCCATAAGACTGCCTCAAGCTATAGAAAGCAGCAGGGATCCCTTCATTTAACAAGGAAAAGTGTCTCTTCCAAACCCATCTGACTCATTAAAAAGGACAAAGGATTAGAACAACCACAACCAAAAGAAAAAAAAAATATCTCAGGTGATAGGCTGTAGATTTGTTAATGCTAAACCTCCATGAATAAACTTTTCACACATTCTAAAGCATCACGCTTGAATTCTATTTATTAATGGACCTGAAATTGAACATGAAAAAAAGGAGAATGGGAAAATTAACCCATATGCAAGTCCGTATGTTCAAGTCATTAAAAATATTTCAGAAAACTTTTGTAGTTAAAAATTATTTTCCCATAGAAAGTATATACTTTTCTAATTAAGGTTACTCTCATTTTACTTTTTTTTACTTCCTAGACACAAGGTCTTGCTCTGTCGCCCAGACTGCAGTGCAACGGTGTAATCATAGTTCACCGAAGCCTAGAACTCCTGGACTAAAGTAACCCTTCTGCCTCAGCCTCCTGGGTAGTTGGGACTACAGGTAAGTCCCACCACATCCAGCTAATGTTTTTTTATTTTTTGTAGAGATGGGGTCTTGTTATGTTGCCCAGGTTGGTCTTGAACTCCTGGCCTAAAGTGATCCTCCCACCTCAGCTTCCCAAAGCGCTGGGATTACAGGTGTGAGCCACTGTGCCCGGATGTATTTTGTTGTTACTGTTTTCAGCAGGATGAATTTTAGCATTTTGAAGTTGGAACATAGCATGAATGTTAGAGTACCACACTTTCATTTTGCTGCTGGAGAAACATGTCCTGAGGGATCACATGGCCACGGGCAGCTTAGGACTCTTAGTTTGAGACAGCAGACCAAAGCCGGGACTCCAGTTACATTATTTGGGCTAGAATCCTGGCTCCCATACTTAAGAGTGTTCAGCCAGTGTCTCCCTCAATCTCTATGAGGAAAGAATTATCATAATGCCTATTTCCAGATACTAGGAAAGATAATGATTTTTTTGTCTTTGTTCAATGAAGGAATATGACTTTTAGGATCAAATAAGATAATGGTTGTAGAACTGCTTTGTAAGCTATAAAAGTTTATTATTATTGCAACCTTAGATTTCTGATAATCCAGTGGTCTATTTACAGAGATCATAAAATTAAGAGAAATAATTTGGATCACTTGAATTTGAAGACAAATTTAAAAACAGTAATGAAGCAAGCATGTTAAAAATCTTCACTCACTCCTTTAATCCTAAGGGACATTAATGGGGTCAAATCTAATTTCAAACTATGTAGTTAAATGCTTCTACAAATCAGCATGCTTTAAAATTGTATTATGGGCAGGAGGTAAGAAGAGATCTTTAATTTTAAAACTTCCTTGTTAGTCAAAAATAGTATTTACATTTGAAGTTTGACTAATTCTCACATTTATAATTTTTAGCCAGGTGCAGGGGCACACACTTGTAAATATATATATCTATATATATACATTTTTTTTTTTTTTTTTTTTTTGAGACAGAGTCTCACTTCGTTGCCCAGGCTAGAGTGAATGCCATGGTGTCAGCCTAGCTCACAGCAATCTCAATCTCCCGGGCTCAAGCAATCCTCCTGCCTCAGCCTCCCAAGTAGCTGGGACTACAGGCATGCGCCACCATGGCCAGCTAATTTTTTTCTATATATATTAGTTGGCCAATTAAGTTCTTTCTATTTATTGTAGAGACAGGGTCTCGCTCTTGCTCAGGTTGGTTTCAAACTCCTGAGCTCAAATGATCTACCCAACTCGGCCTCCCAGAGTGCTAGGATTACAGGCGTGAGCCACCGCGCCGGGCCTGTAGATCTATTAATAGCTACTTGGGAGGCTGAGGCGGGAGGATTGCTTGAGCCAATGAGTTTAAGCCCAGCATGGGCAACTTGGCAGACAGACTCAGTCTCTAAACCCAGCTAGTTTGAGTTTGAGGACACAGTACGCTATGACTGCACCTATAAAAAGCCACTGCATTCCAGCCTAGACAACATAGAGAGACCTTGTCTTTTAAAAAAAATTTTATATAATTAAAAAAATTTTGAAACAATTGTTTCCTAAAAGCTATATGCAATACAAATAATTTTTTCCTGAGCCATTTGAGAATAAACTACCAATCTGATGACCCATCACTCCTGAATACTTTTTATTACAAACTAAAAGTTTATGCAAACAAGGACATTCTTCTACATTCCCGATACAACAGTCAAAACCAGGAAATTAACATTTGACACATTACTGCCACATAACTGTCAGACCCCCCATCAAGTTTAGGCAGTTGTTGCAGAAGGATCCAGTTTAGCATCATGAGTTTCATTCAGTTCATGTATCTTCAGTCTTCCTCAGTGTGGCCTTAATCTTTCTTTGATTTTTTTTTTTTTTTTTTTTTTGAGACAGAGTCTCGCTTTGTTGCCCAGGCTAGAGTGAGTGCCGTGGCGTCAGCCTAGCTCACAGCAACCTCAAACTCCTGGGCTGGAGTGATCCTTCTGCCTCAGCCTCCCAGGTAGCTGGGACTACAGGCATGCGCCACCATGCCCGGCTAATTTTTTATATATATATATCAGTTGGCCAATTAATTTCTTTCTATTTATAGTAGAGACGGGGTCTCGCTCAGGCTGGTTTTGAACTCCTGACCTTGAGCAATCCGCCCGCCTCGGCCTCCCAAGAGCTAGGATTACAGGCGTGAGCCACAGCGCCCGGCCTTCTTTCTTTGATTTTTAAAACCTTTACTCTTTATAGATTACAGGACAATTATTCTGTAGAATGCCCTACAACTTGGGACTCCATGAGTTGATTCAGGTTTGCATCTTTGACAGAAATATTATAGAAGTGGCACTGTGTTCTCACTGCATCCTATCAGGTGGTATATAATTTCAAGTTGTCCCTTCACAGGTGATGTTCTTTTTGATCACTGATGTCTTCCAGGCTTCTCCTCTGTGATTCCTCTTTAACTCTTTGTAATTAATAAGCATTTTGTGGAAATGTTTTTGAAACTTTTTGAATATCCTATTCCTTATCAAACTTTCGATTTATTCATTTATTTGCTTGCTTTATTTAATGTAATACAATTAGTGCAGTGACACATCATAGCTCACTGCATTCTTGAACTCCTGGGCTCAAGTGATCCTTCTGAGTAGCAAGAACTACAGGTGTGTGCCACCATACCCGGCTAATTTTAATTTGTTTTTTAGAGGTGTGTGTGTGTATGTGTGTGTGTGGGGGGGTCTTGCTATGTTGCTCAGGCTAGTCTTGAACTCCTGGACTCCAGTGATCCTGTGGCATTAGCCTCTTGAGTAGCTGGGATTACAAACTCTAGCCACTACGCCTGGCTCTTCCTTATTTGTTTTAATGCTTAAATTGGCCCAGACTTGGTCAGCAAGAGCCTCTCCAAGCTGGAGTCTTTGTCCTTCTGACCATTTTCCATCATTTTTTGAGTACCTCTTTCTGGCACAATATAGAGTTAGAGTATGCATGTTGTACATATCTATTTACATTTCTATTTCTATATGTATCTATCTAGATATTGGAAACCATACATTCCCAATTGAAACCTCCAGTTTTAGTGCAATACCACAGGGCTCATTTTAGTTTCTCTCTTTCCATAATTTGTAGCTCTCTTTATTGACAGTAAGAAACCTGGCTCTAATTATCCTGAATATATTGACTAATTTGGTCAATCTCCCTATATATAGGCAATTTCTCATTGCTGCCACTGACACTTCCCCCATGTGGATGCCCTTCTTACCCTGCTTGGACTCTAAATTCCTCATTCTGAGCTGCTCCTCACACATGGATGCTCTCCTTACCTCATTTGGGTTCTGACTCCCAGTGTTAGACCACCTCTTCTATGGACACCTTCTTCATTCTGCTCAGGCTTTGACACTCTACATCAGGCACCACCCCATGTGGATGCCCTCCACACCCTACATAGGCCCTACTCCCATATTAATGCCCTTCTCACTCTGCTTGGCTTCTGAAACCCACCACCAGGTGCCCAGACAAGACTACCATCCTTATCCTTTTGAGCTCTGACTCTTCATGCCAGGATGCCCACCCCCTCAAACCCATGGGCATGCTCCTCGCTCTGCTTAGGCCTCAATATCCAAAGCCAGACTGCCCCTCTGCATGGATAACTACCTTGCTCTGCTCAACCTAATGATCCTAGAAAGCTTTTTCCAATTATAAAAATCATATACATTCATTGTATAAAATTTGGAAAATATCGGTAAGAGCATAGAAAAAAAGAAAAGTCTCCCATAATCCCACCACCCACAGACATCTGTACATGTAAATACATTTTGCAAGTTAATCTGACAAATAAAACAAATTATTTTTAACTTTAAAATTTTAAAGATGAAAGTTTTTCCTAAAATTTCTAAGACCTGTGAAGGTCATAATAAACAAGCTGAGAAAAGATTAGATACCTCTAAACCACTAAGAGTACTGTCTTGAATTTATTCAGTACTACCTCATAATTTAATACTTGTAAGTATTGCAGCTTACAAAAGTACCTAACTAGGGAGTTCTGGCAGTGGTGAACTCTTGCTCATTAAAAAGAAAACTTACAAGGAAATTTTCCTATATTTATTTATTTCAAGTAAGTGGGGTCAGGACAGAGCCATTCAGGGAGTTCCAGTGCCATGTGACAGCCTTTTAATAATGTTTGTTGTATCTTCTAATTAAGGATTATGATTTCAAATAACTGTGGGAGGGAGGGGGGAAACTGACAAGTTTACATACCTCTCTAGGACCCATAAGTGGAAGGCAATTAATTTTAAAGCTTGATTTGCTAGTGTAAATTTAAAGTGTTAATTATAGCTTCAAAATCCCTGTCTGGGCAAAGGGCCACTACTAAGGGTTTCATTTACGTAGGCTGTCTTCTATTTGTCTGAGAAGCAGGGTAGTATTTGCTTATACTGTACTTTCCAATGCATACTAAAATGATTATGCCTCAGCAGAAGTTTCTTTGGATTAGTTAAAACGCCATTTGTTGTACATAATGAAATTTTTCATTTGTGTTTGTGAGGATTATAAATCTTTCCAAAAAGGAGCAAGTAAACTCCAAGATGATAGACTTCTGAATTTTTTAGTCATGGTGATCCATTATTCCTCACTTTCTATCCATATACCTAACAGAACATCAACTGGACCACATCCATTTGTCCTTAGAGATTGTTTCACCTATGAGTTTAAATTCTGTTAAATTCTAAGAGTTGTTCTCCAAATCCAGACTCACATTCAGAACTTGTAAAATGGGGATAAGAATTATTATTATCTTAGCAAATATTTGAACTCTCACTATACATTAGTCATGCCAGTTTACATGAATTTTTTGATTAAACACAAAATTCATATTATTGCTCTCATTTTTCAGATGAGAAAGCTGAAGCTTAGGTACCTTAAGTAATTTACCCAGAGTTACATAGTTACTAAAGATGGAGTCTAAATTTAAAGCAAGACAGGTGGATTCCAGAGCCTATGTTTTTAACTATGGTACCCTATTGCCTAACTCAGTGGTTCTCAAACTTTTTTGGCCTCAGGACCTCTTTAATCTCTTAACAATTATTGTAACAACTATTGAGGACTCCAAAGAACTTTTTTTTATGTGGCTTATACCTATTAGTATTTAATATATTAGAAATTTTTAAACTAAGAAAAATTTAAAATATTTATTAAATTTCTAAAGAATAAAAATAAATCCATTATTTCAACATTAACATTACTTGTGAAAAATAACAATATTTCCCCAAAAATGTAATGAAAAGGTAATATTGTTTTTCATATTTACAAATCACTTCAATGTCTGGTTTAGAAGATAGTTGTAGTCTCCTATCGTCTGCATTCAATCCGTTACAATGTATTGACTTGATAATATATGAAGAAATATACTCTCACACAAATATGCAGTTGGAAAAGGAAAGACTGAGAACTTAAAATATTCTTGTTTGATATACCAAACTCAACAATGGCAGTTTCTTAAAAGTTAATTGCAATGTGAAATGTGGAAATGTATCAATGAACTTTATGTACTGTTACATTAAGATCCACTGGCCTATCTTGCACTTTTTTTTATTTCAGTATATTATGGGGGTACAAATGTTTAGGTTACATATGTTGCCCTTGGCGCCCCTCCGCCCTTGAGTCAGAGCTTCAAGCGTGTCCATCCCCCAGATGGTGCACATCACACTCATTATGTATGTATATATCCATCCCCTACTCTCCCCTTGCATCTGCCCGATGCCAGATAAATGTGCTTTTTTTTTTTTAAGAGACAGGGTCTCACTCTGTTGCTCGGACTAGAGTGCTATGGCACAATCATAGCTCACTGCAACCTTGAACTCTGGAGTTCAAGCAGTCCTCCCACCTCAGCCTTAAATAGCTAGGACTACAGATGCGCACTTCCATGCCCGGCTCCATTTTTTAAATTTCTTGTGGAGACAAGGTTTTATTATGTTGCCCAGGCTGGTCTTGAACTCCTGGGCTTAAGCGATCCTCCAGCCTAGGCATCCCAAAGTGCTGGGATTTACAGGCATGAGCCACCACACCTAGCCTATCTTGCACTTTGAAGAGATCTTTTACTCATACATGATTTTGTAACATCATGCATTTCTTATCTAAAAACTATTGGTTCACCAAGTTATGTAAATCTTCCAAATGTTAACACATTTCATTATACAATATACGGATAAGAAAAATTATATTCATTAAAATCACCACTGCCCTTGGCAGAAAAAGTCTTTAAGTATTTAAAAGCTGTCACAATCAATAAATAAATGTCGTTTGTTTTCCTAAAAGTATCAGCTCATTCATTTTTGAGAAAATGAATTTCGGCTAGGTGTGGTAGCTCATGCCTATAATCCTAGCACTCTGGGAGCCTAGCACACAGAGGCAGGAGGATTGCTTGAGGTCAGGAGTTCAAGACCAGTCTCAGCAAAAGCAAGACCCCATCTCTACTAAAAAAAAAAACATAGAAAGAAATTAGCTGGACAACTAAAAATAGAAAAAATTAGCAGGGGGTGGTTGCCCACATCTGTAGTCTCAGCTACTCTGGAGGCTGAGGCAGAAGGATGGCTTGAGCTCAGGAGTTGGAGGTTGCTGTGAGCTAGGCATTCTAGCCAGGCAACAGAGCAAGATTCTGTGTCAAAAAATATATATATATATGAATGCCAAATAACCAAATCTGAATAATCATAGTATGTATATGTGTACATGTATTAATATTTTTATATATAAACTTTTAGAATTATAAGCAGAATATGATTAAAAGTATTAAAATGTATTCAAAGACAATGTAATATCCTTAAGTTAATTATCAACAAGTTGAAAGCAGTGTATTTAGTGATCCCAGACATCAGTACATTGGAATGTATAAGCTCCAACTTGAAAAGCAGACTGGTAATTCCCTTTGGAAATAGTGTGACCCCATGAGAGTTGGGTAACTCTTATAAAACTACCATCTAGGTTGCAAACTTTAAAGTCCTTATTGTGGACATCATGACTGAGGTACTTGAACCCACAGGGGCAATAAGGCCAATAAGGCACACAGAATTGGGGTACCTTGAGTTAAATCTCTCTTATTTGAAGCATCCCAATCCATGCAATCCTACTGGAAACACCCTAAGGAGAACAAGATGCCTCAACAGCTAGACAGAATACTTGCTACTACCATGGCAAGCCTACTGAGACCACTCTTTGGATTTCCCTTTGAGCAATGTGACCCTTTGGAGCTTGGTAACCTAACTCATACTAACATAACTCAGGGGCCGGGCGCAGTGGCTCACACCTGTAATCTAGCACTCTAGGAGGCCGAGGCAGGCGGATTGCTCGAGGTCAGGAGTTCAAAACCAGCCTGAGCAAGATCGAGACCCTGTCTCTATTGTAAATAGAAAGAAATTAATTGGCCAACTAATATACAGAGAAAAAATTAGCCAGGCATGGTGGCACATGCCTGTAGTGCCAGATACTTGGGAGGGCTAAAGCAGAAGGATTGCTTGAGCTCAGGAGTTTGAGGTTGCTATGAGCTAGGCTGACGCCACAGCACTCACTCTAGCCTGGGCAACAAAGCGAGACTGTCTCAAAAAAAAAAAAACACCATAATTCAGGGTACTGACTCAAGGCCAAGATTTGACTTTCACGTTAATACACTAAGGCAGCTTGTAAAATTTAGCTATAGCAAGTCACTCAAATAACAATGAATGTATGATGGGAAGAAACACAAATTCTTCTGGCACTTTAATATTAGCTAATATTTACTGAATTTTTCTATGTGAAAGACTGTGACATTGTATTAAATGTTTTATTAATACACACATTACCTCTTCTAAACTTAGCAATCACCCTATTTCCTTGGAGGTAATAATCTTCATCAGAAATATAAGGAAAATTCAGAGAGGTTATAAATGAATTACCTAAGGTCACAAGGCTAGGACCAAGCAGAGTCAAGATTTTGACCCAGCTCAGACTGACTATAAACCCTGTTCTTACTCATTGTGTTATGAAACCTCCCAACATCATCAATTGTTTTCATGAAAAAAAGCAATATAGTTAGTGAATTCAATAAAGACTTTTAAAAATACTTTCAGGGGTTTCATGGGCCCTCTGAAATCCATCCATGTATACAGATCTCAAGTTAAAAACCCTTGCTCTAAGGATCTCAAGGCACCTACCTAATATAGTATAAGAACTTTTAAATCCGGGGGGAAAAAAGGTAAGGCAATAATAAGATAGCCACCACTTATTGAGCTGTTTCAGGCACTGTGCTAGGTGCTTTGCATATATTACTTTGGTTAGTTTTCATCCTACAATGCAATGCCTATTACTCTGATCAGAAAACTGAGGTTAAGAATAATTAAATGACTTGCTCAAAGTCACCCAGTGGCAGTAACTGAGATCACACTGACTCTTTCTATGGCACTATGTGCCCTTTTAGGCAAACACTGAATCAATACCACATCAAGGGTTTAAACTTACTGCCAAAACACAGAACAAACGCAGGAGACATATTCACCTGTATGACTTGTGTAGTTCCATGACCTTCTCTTCAAGTTCCTTGGTCTGATTTGGGGCCAGTTTAAAATCACTAACATAATCCACACCATGGAGTTCTGGGTCATAGTCTCCCAGCTCAGACTGGATGGTATAAGAACCTAACAATGCTAACGTTGCAAAGGAACAAGGCAGACGTCCTGCAACTATGTCCTGCCGAAGCTGAAGACATAAATAATATCTACAACCAAAAGAGAAAAGATGTTATCATGTCAGCAGCAACAACAGCAAAATATAGAGACAAAAAGGGGAAAAGGGGGGAGAGAGAAAGAGAAAAAAATAAAGAGGGAGAAGAAAATAGAGAGGTTAAGTAAATATGAGATCACATCAATAATTGTTTAATTTAGGTAATGGGTATAGGTCATTGTACTATAATTTTTTCCTTTCTGTGTGAAAATTCTCCATATAGAACGTTTAAAAAAATACTGTAACTATGTTATACACATGTTTAGAAAAAGTTGGGAAAGTCTGAAGGAATTAATGAAACTAATATTTTGTTAAGTATACTAAGTACCATAGATACATAAAGTGTCTTATCTAATCTTTACAAAAAAACTTGTGAGGTGGGTATCATTGCCACATTATAGATAAGGAGGCATCCTTAGAGGCTTAGCTTGCTCAATGTCAGAGGGCAACAAAGGCTGTTTGGCTCCAAAACCAGGCCCATTCTTTTCTATCACAGTGCTTTGCCAAATGTGTAGATATTGTCTTCCATATACAAAGATGACATTATTTACATATTTTCACTATGACATGAACATTCTGGTGTGTTTTCCCTCCAAGGTGAGCTAAGTTGTATACAGCCTTCCACATATTATCAGCAACCTTGTAAAACTAATTCCACCTGTGTGCTACACTGTTGGGAATTCAGATTGCAGTTAAAACAGTTCAATCCAACACATTAATTGAGTGCCTTAACGTGTATAGATACTTCTCTCAGTATAATGCTCATATATATGGCCCTGACCTCCTTACCACTGGGTCTAACTATCTGAGTTGACCAGTTCAGACTGTTTTACCAAGGAAAAGTGTGATTACATTGGTAATTCTTATATTAATTAGAATCATATCTTTGCTTTTACCATAAGCAAGATATTGAATAACATATACATCGGTAATAGTTTTTCTATCTGTAATTAGTCGCTACATTCATGCTTTCTCCAAAAAAAATAGAGCAATGCCAAATAAGTCACAAGAATTTTAAACTCCTCTAAAATGTAGATAATTAGCAAAGATTTTTAGGGATGTATTTTGTTTTATATATAATAAGCCCAGATGAAGAAAGATGAGTAAGTAGTAACTCTAAAAGACAAATATTACCCATGAAAATAACCAAAACAATTTTTTAAGGCAGATATATGGCATCTCAGCCTCAAGAATGTATTAATACTAAGGATGAATAGACAACGATAAGAAAAAAATGGTATAGACTTTTCATAGAACTAATAATCAGATTTTTAAGAGTTTAGTCTATACTCTTATTTGAGAGATACAGAAGAAACTGAGGCCTACACATTATAAATTTGACTGAAATCAGATAGTTGGCAGCAAAATCAAATTAGAAAGCAGTGTTTGACAACCAACAGTTCAATGTAACAAACATTTGCCAAGTACTATTTATAAGGCTCCATGTGAGAGGCTATGGATATAATTATGTACAGTAGTACTCTTTATAATATATTGCTTTTCCATTTTCTTACTAATATTTTTACAGAATCTAATAAAAGTAATTTTCTTAAAGGAAATCAGGTTGCTTTTAAAGAGTATAAGATTTATTTCATAAATTAAGTGAGTTCGAACAAATATTCCGCTCATGGGGATCAACCTAATCATACAGCTTAAAAGGGAAGATATAGGAAGAAATATTACCACTGAGACTTTTAGCTCTTTTGATCCCTATAAGAAAGAACATGGTGGGAAAAGAGTATAAAAGCAAAAAACAAAAAAAATCAGTAGAGCCATTTTACCACATATATCTGTGGCTTGCCCGTTGGAGGGTGGTGTGGTTTATAGGAGCCCTGCCCAGCTTGGCATAATACCCATGATAAGCAAGACTAGTTTCCTACCACTTTCCTCCAGGCAGGTCAGACACTTGAGGCTTTTAGGCTCACTTATTTGCAAGCTTGCTTGAAGTGACTAGAAACTTTCTCTCTTAGGCTAAGCATTCAATAGTTCATCATTTTTCTTTAATTCTGAATAGGGAAATTTCCAGAGCTTATGATGATGAAATTACTATTATATATTTAACTATTACTTAATTGCTTACCTTGTTATGTCTTCTGTTAACTGTGCTGGGTCAGGTGGATAAAACTTTACATTAAATGTAAAATTCCAAGGGACACCTGTAAAAATAAACACAAAAGAATTTTATGTTTGTATCTAAGTTTATGATTATTAGAAGTACCTTACAAAATCACTTCTCGGCCTTTTGGCTAAGATCAAGTGTAGAAGTACCTCAAAATACTCAAAAATTTATTTTTTTCCTAAAATTTTAAAATATTTTCATGCCCTGTGGATTAAAAAAATTTTTTTCTTAAAGAAAAAGAAGAAAGTTGCTTAGATATCACTTAAGAGTTAGAGCTAGAAGATCTCATTTTTTTACCTGACTTAATATTATATAATATTTTATTTACAAAGGATGAGAACTACATAGGGAAAATAATATGACAAAAACCATGCTTTATGGTAACTTGCATGTAACAATGGTTTTCAAACTGTGATCTATATAGTCATGTGTCACTGAACAAGGATACATTCTGAAAAACACCTCATTAGACAATTTCATTATAATGTAAACATCAGATGGTTTAGCCTGCTACACACATAGGCTTAATGGTGTGTCATAGTATATATCATAGGCTACAAACCTGTACAGCATATTACTGTACTGAATATCGTAGGCAATTATAACACAATGTTAAGTATTTGTGTATCTAAATATAGAAAAGGTATAATAAAATATGGTATTATAATTCTATGGGACCATCATCATACATGCAGTCCATGTTGACAGAAATGTCACTATTCAGTGCATAACTGTACTATTCTGAATCCTGAGAGGTCACTCAGAAATGTTCTTTTTTGGTTTTGGCATTATTTAGGATATCTGTCAAGAGTATCTCAAATAAAAGCATTCTTCTCATTAATATGGGTGAGATTAGGAGATTGTTTTAGAAATAAGAACAAAGAAGTAATATATATAGGTAGCTTTTAGAAACTATACTTCTATCAAAAATATTTTAGGCATGAAAACTGTAAGAGTTCAATCCTCAGACACATACAAATGTGTTGTATTTTTGATCTACAATGAAAATCAGAGATTACAAGTAAAGTTCAAACAAAGAATGCCTTTCAATTTTTCCAGCTGAGTACTACCCTTCAGGGTTTTTCTAGCATGTCTGCTGGCCTCCCAAAGAGTAAGGCCTAATCTCAGCTAGAATGAAGTATGATTGGTTATGATGCTAAGAATTGTCATATTGTTCAGTACTAACTGCATGCTAGGCACTAAGCCAGCCCTCTTACATACGTTAACTCATTTAATCCTCGGAGAAACCCAAAGAGGTAAGTACTAGTATTAATTCATTTTATATAAGGAAGCAGACACTGAGGAAAGTACATAGCTAGTTAACTCAGAGTTCTTTTACTTCATATCCTGTGTTGTTTTTGTTTTTGAGACAGAGTCTTACTCTATTGCCTGGGGTAGAATGCAATGGTATCATCTTAGCTCACTGCAATCTCAAACTCTGAGCTCAAGCAATCATTGTGCCTTAGCCTCCTGAGTAGCTGGGACTACAAGCACTAGCCACCACGCAGAGCTAATTCTTCTATTTTTTGTAGAGATGGGATCTTGCTATGATGCTTGGACTGGTCTTGAACTCCTGGCCTCAAGCAATTCTTACACCTCAGCTTTCCGAAGTGCTAGGATTACAGCCATGAGACACTGCACCCAGCAATCCCATGCCTTTAACCACTGGACTCCACTATCCCGCTACAAACATTTATGTGTCAAATATCATTCTGTGTTTTGTGTCCATAGTGTTTCATCTCCAAATACTACTTTTATTGCAAATAGTTGACAATGAAAATATGAAGATTATAATTTAGAGTAGTTTGAATGTCTTAATGGGTATGTACTTTTAAGTATACTAAAATATTTAATATAGGAGTCCCTTAAAAATGATCATTATTTTCCTTTAACATTTGACTAAAAGGCAAATTCCATACAATATAAAAAGATGTCTCAAAGCCTAGCCAGATCCCAGTACTTACCATCAACCCACCTCTAATACTTCATATCCAAAAACTTTAAATGACACTTAGACCAGAAAAACCCATAACTGTTTCTCAGAAGGGAGGTGGTGGTATTTTCATGGCATACCATACATCAAGACTACTTGTTGTTTCACTTTCCAATATGATCAAATCATATCAATCTAGCCATTGTTAATTCATAACTCCCCACACAGACTTAACAACGACAATAAGTTAGGCAAGGTGGCACATGTCTGGAGTCCCACCTACTTGAGAGGCTGAGGTAGAGGATCACTTGAGCCCAGGAGTTTGAGACCAGCCGGGGCAAAGTAGTGAGACCCCCATCTCTTAAAAAAGAAGTCCTCTATATCAGTGGTCCCCAAACTTTTTGGCACCAGGGACTGGTTTCATAGAAGACAATTTTTCCATTGGTGGGAGAGGGCAGAAGGTGAAGCTCAGGCAGTAAAGCAAGAGATGGGGAGTGTCTATAAATACAGATGAAACTTGGCTCACTCACTTGTAGCTCACCTCCTGCAGTACAGCCCCCTCCCCCACCTTCCTAAGTTTCATGGAAGACAATTCTTCCATGGATCAGGGAGGTGGGGTACGGCCCGGCCCTTAACAGGCCATAGACTGATACTGGTCCATAGCCTGGGGCTTGGGGACCACAGCTCTACGCTACTCATAAAAATGCATTGGGTAAAGCAAATCAATATAGAAAGCAAAGATAGCCAAAAGAATGTTTAACACAGTTGGCCCTCTGTATCTGTGGGTTCTGCATCTGTGGAGTCAACCAACTCTGGATCCAAAATATTTGGAAAAAAACAAAGGATAGTTGTGCCTGAACTGAACAGGTACAGACTGTTTTTCTTGTCATTATTCCCTAAACAATACAGCATAACAACTATTTATACAGCACTTATATTATATTAGGTATTATAAGTAATCTGGAGATTATTTAAAGTATAGGGAAAGATTCTGTAGGTTATATGCAAATACCAAACCGTTTTATATAAGGAACTTGATTTTAGTATTCCTGGAGGTCCTAGAATCAATCCCCTATGGCTACCATGATTGTGTAGGTAATTTCAGTGTTTAAGAACTTTAAACATGGGCCGGGCACAGTGGCTCACGCCTGTGATCCTAGCACTATGGGAGGTCAAGTTGGGAGGATCACTCAAGGTCAGGAGTTCAAAACCAGCCTGAGCAAGAGTGAGACCCCCCCCTCTACTAAAAGTAGAAATTAGTTGGCCAACTAAAAAATATATAGACAAACTTAGCCAGGCATGGTGGTGCATGCCTGTAGTCCCAGTTACTCGGGAGGCTAAGGCAGAAGGATTGCTTGAGCCCAGGAGTTTGAGGTTGCTGCGAGCTAGGCTGACATCACAGCAGTCTAGCCTGGGCAATAGAGTGAGACTCTGTCTCATAAAAAAAAAAAAAAAAGAACTTTAAACATTAATTTAGTTATTTCATAACATATATAAATAGCAATATTTAATTACATAAGAATAACATTAAGGAAAACATATTAGGAATAATTTATAAAGTGTAATATTTTTTCCCTCTTTGAGCTCTGTGTTAAGTAACTGACATAAAAAGCTTGATAACACCCCCAAGATTGATGGGAAAAATAAGCACTTTCATCTATTGTTCACAGCAGTGTAAACTGGCACCATCCTATGGAGAACAATTTGACAAAATCTATCAAAATATAAAATATATATAGCCTTTCACCTAAAAATTCCATTTCCATAAGTGTATCTAAACATATACTTAAAAGCAGCTAAAGTGATATATGTATAAGATATTGTTTATAACAATAAAGTTCTATGAACAATCTAAATATATTTATTTAGCAAGAAAAGATAAATTATGGGTCATCTATACATTGGAAAATTAGGTAGCTAGTAAAAAGAAAGAAGTAGCTCTACGTGGAATGATCTCCAACACATAGTGTTAAGTGAAAAAAAAATGAAGAGAAGGGTGTATAAAGAAAGCTACTATACAGGATTAGTGGGGTAGAAAACAGTATATATTACAGGTATGATTATATATGTATAGGATATTGCTATAAGCATATATAATAAACTAGTGATAGTAGTTGGGAAACTAGGAAGAGGAATTCTTGGAGAGGGAGCAGGGAGGCTAAGGGAAAATGAATAGGAAGGAGACCTACTTTCACTATATACTCTTTCATACCACTTGAATTTTGTACTGTGTGTACATTTACTACTTATTTATCTGTCTCCTCCCACTAAAATGTAAATTCCTATGGGCAAGAATTTTTTTTCTGTTTTATTTGATGTGTATCCTCAGTGCCTAAAACCCATATAATGGGTGCCCAAGAAATATTTTTTGATTAAATAAATGAAATAAAGTAACTGATTTCACAGTATTGTTGTGAAGGTCATATAAGAATACTTAAGCTCTAGGACAAACATTTTTTTAAAAAGACTGCATGAAAGGATAACAGGTATTAGTATATTAAAATTACTTATTATTCCAGACACCCCCCCCCCAATGACCTCAAGTTACTAGACCTAATCAAATAAAAACAGTAAAACAAAAACAAACAAAAAAAACTTATATTCTGTTTGGATTCTTCTCTCAGTTTAACCCAAAATAAAGAAGTTTAATGGTATCAGAAATATCCCTAACTAAACAGAAGTGTCCCAACTATTAACTCTTTCACTTTTGTTAATAGCAATTATAAGACACAGAACTCAAACTTTCAGTTTCTATTCTTTTCCATGCAACAGTTACAAGTTTTGGATACTACTAAAGAAACTACCCAGTTTCAATGTAAGCAAACTCAGGGTTAAATGCAACAGAGAAGCTAAAAAAGTTAATCACTTGGAATTAAAAAAATATTAAAGTTAAAGTGTAATCAGTGACCATCTCCAGGATAAGATATATATAATTAGTAATACTTTATGGAGAATTTTTAGTGAAGGAAAAAAAATGGTGGCTGAAAAAAGCTCTAAAAAGTTTTAACATTAAAATTTCTGCCTTCTAACTCAGCAACACTTCAATGACATTCCTGCCAAACGTGCATAACCTGAAGCTAACTGTGAGGAAATACAAACTCAAA